CAAGGACCCACAGTACCTTCATTTGAAATTAGAAAAAGCTCAAATTTGGACATGTTCTAGATCTAGGCAACCCTATTATTTTGACCTAGGGCATGCACTGTGACGCGATTCAGAGTCAAACTTCGCACAAAACTAGAAAAATCAGGGTTTTAAGAAGAAGAAATCTCAAACCTCGTGAAGCACTCGAAAACGAGTTTAATACAACCACCTCGTGAAGAACTGCAAACTGGTATAACTGCTGTACTTAATCCGAGGTCGGATAAGCATAAATCCCAAGGTTACAGAAGAAGCAGGACTGCTGGGTTGTCGGAATCCCTTTTTCGGTGACCTCCCAAATTAGGAAATGCTGCAGATATAGATCAAAACCTACCAAACTTGGTGTAAAATGACTGTGACCGTCTCCTCTTTCATCTGTAAACAAAATAAAGACTCAGAGCATCACAAGTCGAATAGCATTGGCGACCAAGGTTCACGAATCTGGTCTGGCTTCCACCCCGTGGGAAGAGTCTACCTCAGCACGATTAAAGGGCATCAAAATGCTTAGAATCGAACAAGCATTGAAAATATAATGGCAAATCTTCTGAACCATTGCTATAAGTTTTCGGAAAACCTTTCAAGATCTGGCAATGGCGGAAGGCCCCTTAGAGAGAGATGGTTTCGTCATTAGCATAAAAAGTTTTAGGGGTATTTTGGTCATTGTACCTAATTTTGGGATTTATTTTAAATTCTTTTAATGTTAATTAAGCTTAGTTTTTGAGCATTCACCCCTGTTCGGTGAGTTCTTTATATAAATAAGCTTAAGTCACTTGTAAAAAGGCGGATTATTCATCACTGGAATAGGCGCATCATGCTTGTTTTCACTCGTCTTTTGCTTATAAACCCTCAATCCCGTCTAGAGGAGCGAGAAAACTTTTAGAAAGAGAAAATACCCCTGAGTACGCGGTCCCATTCTCTCTCTTTCCTAAATCAAGCTACACCCCGAGCCGTCTTTCTCTTCTCCTCTAATCGCTACATGCCCTCATGCAGCAGCCTCGTCCATGACGGACACGCTGTCACGAGCGAACCCAAGAGTTCTAACCCTCGAGCCACCGCTCTAACTTCCTCTCGTACAATCGAATTGAGCAGAGAGACGCATACGCTCTCTCCCTCAGTCACTCGGGAGGAGTCAGCCTGAGCTGGTAGCCAAGAGGGATCCAACTCTTCGGTTACCTCAACTACCCTACCGCCCGACGCTCGTGTGAAGAGGGAGAGCTTCACTGCCCTTCCTCCGCATTCTATCCTTTTTGCCAGTCAGCATCCTTGAGGGAATTGTCACGGAGAGGGATGATCGAACCCCCATGGTAATCGCAAGCGAGAGAGAGAGAGAAGAGATCTTGTGAAAGCCTGAAGAGAGTCCTTGTTCAAACCGCGCTGGCGGACAGCTGGAGGGCTTTGTTATTGTTCTAAGAGGTCGAACCACCTAGGTGTGTCCCCCGAACCCCAAGCAGCGAGGCAAGAGTCGAACGTATCCCCGCCGTAAAATCTCTCTCGTTGTTGGTTCCTATCCGTGCTTAGGAGAGCTCGTGTACGCGCACCCACGAACGTGAGATGTGCGCGGACCCTCTGTGGTTGTTTGAGATAGGATTTTTTCCCCCGCATGCGAGGACCAAAGCGAAAATCAGGCCTCAACCAATACCTTTAGCCCGATTTAATTATGAAGGAAAATGATGTAAAAATATGAAAACATGCTTCAAATATTTATTGAAATTTTTTCAGATTTTTTCAGATTTTTTAACACAAAATACGTGTCTTTCAAAATTGTTTGATTTTAATGCCAAATAAGAACGTCCATGTAGCATGTGGCACCGTCATTCTAGTTAGGGCGTGGACCACCTTTTTGACACTTAGTTATTTAGATTGATTTCAAACCTTATGTTATATCCATATAACTTAAAAGACACATTTTAATCAAATGGGTATTTCTCACATGTGACCTCCTTGGCTTGTGTGAAGCCAAGGGAATTTGTGAGATAAAAATTATTGTTAAAATTAGTATCCACATAAGTTACAATGGATGTGAACCTTACATATGGATGCACCTCATTGGTGTGACCCATGTGAAGGTGTAAGAGTGCATGTGAAGGGTTTGGGTTGAGATGATCTCATTGGTAGTGTCATAACCCACTGTTTTTACCTTTCCCATGCCATAATCCTTTTTACCGTTTTGCCCCTTGCCCTTGAACATTCTTAGCACTCTTGAATTAAAAAAATATTGAAGGCATTTTTGTAAACACACTTGGACATGTTTGGAATAAAAGTATGGGGCTAAGGACAAGAAAGTAAATGTGGCTTTGACTTAGGGTTTTAGTGGGTGATAATGGTGGCAAATCTCATCCCTTCATCTTCGTGGTGGATGGGGATGAGTGGCTAGGGATAATTGGCCTCTCATGTGCCATTGATGATGTGCATCAAGGGTTGAGATCTAATCTCACTCAAATACTTCATATAAATACAATGTTTTGGTCCAAGTTAACCCAATTCTTGAAAAGCGAATTTTACAAGCAAAAGGAACCTCGAGAGAGAGAGAGAGAGAGAGCAAGAACTTCCATGAGCTCCATGTACCAGCCATTGTAGAACTTGTTCCATTGATCACATTTGGAGTTTTAAGGTGATCCTTCACTATATGATATCAAGTTCATATTAAGCAATCAAGGTAACTTTCCATTAAGTTTTTCCTCTATTGTTTTTCATCCTCTTTCACTTGAAAGCTTGCTGTAAAGTCTTTGTGAAAGCCTTATATAGGGAAGTCATCTATTTGACTATGAGCTTCATGCCTTGACGATCCTTTGATTAAGCATACTTGTTTTTCTCTACCCAAATTTTTCTGGTGAATTTATTATACTCGAATTTCAAATTCCAGAGATCTATTACCTCTTTGAATCATTTAGATTCCACACTTTTGCATGCAATCCCGTTTTGGTGGTCCGGTAGACAATACTACATAGTGTTGCTCTATCTTGCCCAATTTTGATTGGATCTTCCTAGTTCTTTTTGCAAACTGTTGTGGGTTGATTTTGTTACTGATTATGGACCATAAGAAGTGTTTTAAGCTTCCCTAATCGGATAGATCCCATTGAGTCATATAAACCACTCGTGCACTTATCTTTGGGATAAAATTAAGTTCTTAAAAGCCGTGATCGTGGGCCGGCACAAGGGGTTCAAACCATTGGCTTCACGGGTATTTTTTTGGCACTCTAATACCTTTGTTTTATTGTTATCATTCTCTATTATTACTGTTGGGGCAATTTGGTTCCTGTAATTTGACTATATGAATGTATACTTCCATTGTATGTAACTAAATGTTCCCATTTTGAGCTGGTGTGAGTGGCATGTAATTTGCTCCATAAGGGGACTGTTTTCAGTGGTATGTAAAGTCTAAGATGTTTTTATCATTGTGTTAAAGGATTGTTATTGTGTATTTTTTTTGTATAAGTAAGAGTTTTGTGTTAGGGTACCATGTTGTAGTGTTGTTTTCGGTTCAATTAAAGTGTTCCTAGACTTTGTACCACATCACTGTAGACCTCACCAAAAACCCTAATTGATCGCACAAACACGTCCCTTTTGTTGTGCTGATCACAAATATATGATTTTGTTTTAAGATTGATACCAGATATGTTGAGAAATTGAAAGAATTCTAAGAATAGATAAGAGTATCCAACCTAGCTTTGATATCATATTATAATTGAAGAATATTATATTTAGAAACAAAAAGATAAATCGTAGGGCTATCTCACGATCATCATCATCATCATTTTAGCCTTTTCTCAATTACTTGGGTTCTGCTTCATGAATTCTGGTTTTCCATTCTGCTCTATTAAAGGCCATATCCTCAGTGGGGCCATAAGTTCCCATATCTTTTCAGACTACTTCCAACCACGTCCTTTTGGACCTACCCCTTGCCATTTTCAGTCATTCCAGTTGAACTAACTCGCACCTCCTAACAGGTGCTGTACTTGGTCGGCACCACACATGGCTAGACTACCGAAGTCTACTCTTTCTCATTTTATCGCCTATTGGTGCTACAGCTAAATTCTCTCGAATAGATTCATTTCGAATTCTATCTCTTCTTGTCTTGCCATTCATCTATCTCAACATCTTCATCTCCGCTACACTCATTTTATGCATATATTGTTTTTTGTTCGCCCAAAATTCCACCCCATACAGCAAAGCGGTCTCATTGATGTCTTATAGAACTTGCCCTTCAGCCTCATTGGTATGCGGTGATCGCATAAAATTCTAGTTGCACATCTCCACTTCGCCCATCCTGCTCTAATTCTTTATGCGACATCTTCCTTGATCATTTCATTTTCTTGGATTATCGACCTAAGATATCGAAAGTGCGTTCGTTCTTGTACTTCCTGGTTGTCAAATTTGCTACTTCCTCATCTCTACTCCTATTATTATTAAACTCACACTCCATATACTCTATCTTAGTCCGACTAATTTTAAAACCTTTGGATTCTAGAGCATCCCGCCAAAGTTCTAATTTTGTGTTGATGTCGTTTCGAGCTTCATCAATCAAAACTATGTCATCTGCGAACAACATGCACCATGATACCTCATCTTGTAGGTGCTTAGTTAAGTCGTCCATAACTAAGACAAAGAGGTACGGGTTCAATGCTGACCCTTGATGTAGACCTATTGTCACTGAAAACTCCCTCGTCTCTCTACTAGTTGTTCGTACACTAGTTAGCGCTCCATCGTACATATCTCTCACCAAGTCGATGTAGTGTTTCGAGATGCCTTTTTTTTCAACGACCGCCAAATCAAATTGATCAGAACTATAGAGTAGAGACGCCTTTTTTGCAACACCGGCCAAATCATATTGTTTAGAGACATCTTTTTTTCCATCGTACATATCTCTCACATTGATTAGAATTATGGATTATGTGCATATGGTACCCAAATGTATATGACAAACTACTCTTAAACCAGTCGACAAACTACATAGACTAAATACAAAACTAGTATATCGAGAAGCAGTTATGAAATGAATCTAGTATACCTCATATCGAGAAGCATTTATGAAATTTATCAATTGTTTAATGGTTAAGGATCTGTGATCTACCACGTCTGCATATTGTGGCTGTATACTTGTTTTTTGTCATGTGTCGCTCCTTTTTTATCCTTTGCCTCTTAGTTGTTTTTGATTTTGGTTAATTTACAGTGAGCAGACGAGTGATTTTGACGAGTGCTGCCTATGTTCATCTGAAGCAAGCTGATCTATCCAAGCATATCAGAAATCTCTCTCCTGCCAGTCGAGCCATTTTGCTCTCAGGACCAGCAGGTATGCTGTTTCAGTTTAAGATGTTCACAGTGCAACTATTTGGAAAAAGGTTTGTGTTTGGGCTTGTTATTCCAATTAATTGGACCTGGCTACATTTCCTTGTTTCTTTCAGAACTTTATCAGCAAATGCTTGCCAAGGCTTTGGCCCACTACTTTGAGTCGAAACTGCTGCTACTTGATGTTACTGACTTTTCCTTAAAGGTAAGAGAAATACAACAAATTTGGTTACCTGTATTCTTGTTTTTGATTGAAGGTAAAGCATTGTTCTTTTACAGATGCAGAGCAAGTATGGCAGTGGATCAGTATCTGTGAGTTTTATCTTCCGAAGTATAGTATATGCTACTTTGATTTTTCTGGACTCCAATGGATGTAGTTTTACATTTATGCATTTTAGGTGCTATTTAAGAACTGTCATTCTGTTTGTGGTGAACTATGAGTGGTTTCTTGGTAAAGTATGCGTGAAGCATCCGTGAGTTTTATATCATTTGTGCATTCTAGATACTATTTCGGAACTGTCATTCTTTTTGTGGTGAGCTATGAATGGTTTGTTGGTAAAGTATGCATGGTTTTAACTTCAATGTTATTCACATGGCACTTCAACAGCGCATTAGTTGTTACTCTTTCATACTGGTTTTTTTTCCTTTTTGATTTCTTTGTTACTTGCATTTTTCAAACTGTATTGCTGTTTGTCATATTGCTGAAGTCCTTCAATTATGTTGTCTCATTACTCTGTTTTGCAGTCTTTTAAACGCTCTATTTCTGAGACAACTTTGGAACGAATGTCAAGCTTGCTTGGATCTTTCTCAATTCTTCCCCAACGTGAGGAACCCAAAGGTATTCTACTTAATCGAGTTATACAACGCGGACATTTTCTGATATTCTTCTCAAGGAGCTTCTGTGTGCACTGCTAGTACTCTTGGAACTCCCAAGTGTTCTGTTGTTTGGGAATTGGTATTCTTGGGTTCCATGTGGAAACTGAACTGTAGCAATGTATTTCTTTGGATTCATCATTTATGTAGCATTGCTGTCAATTAAATTACTTTTTGACAACCATCGCTTCACTATCATTGTCCATGAAATAGGGTTTTATCTCTACTTTCCTTATAGGATATTGTTTCATAGTGGTGAGACTAGGGTACACTTGCAGCTGCAGGCACATTACGAAGAATAAGCAGTGGTTCGGAGATGCAGTTGAGGTACCCTGAAACTCTTTTCATAGATCTGTAGTGGGTCGATAATGCATCTCTGTCTCATGCTGTAACTCCCGTTGATGTTCTAATTATATATCAGTTATTCTGATTACATATCAGTTTTTGCTTGCACTTAGCAGGGCATTAGAAGCTGTTAATACTGCCCCAAAAATTCGCAGAAATTCTTCAGCTGCTGCTAATATCAGTAGCCTTGCTTACCAACGCTTTCCTGCTAATCCGGGTTGGAAAATGTTTCACTATAATCTTAGATTGACTGAACTTGTTCTTTGAATGCTTTAAACATTTATTTTTAAGCTTTGATTAATTGCAAGAACTTGAATGTTCATTGGAATGCCTGCAAATTTGAGTACTCCTAATGATGACTGTATACATCTCTTAGACTTTCCTTTCTGACGATTAACTTCAATTGTTGAAAGGAAAATCATTCGAGAGGCTTGTTAGACAAGGATGTTAGAAGGAATGGGGAGTGTCACAGAACCTCATGCCCATCATAGTCAGCAATTTGTTTGTTACTACTGATCTGAGATGGTGTAGGAGGGATCCTGCCAATGCAGTCGCATTAGCAAAAAAAGTGGATGGTGGATAAAGTTAGTTTAGAAGGGAAAAAAATGGAATTTATAAAATCTACATTCTTACGTAGCATGTAAAGCAATCTAGGAGCTTTAGAAACATGAAGTTGTCTTCATATCCCTCTCTCTCTCTTTCACTCATGCATGCGCGTGCGTGCCATCTCCTTTTTCGATGTATCTATAATTGTGAACATTGGAAAATCGTGACTGTACAGGTTTTATAGAAAGACTCTGGATAAAGGAACAGAAACTAGAGAACATGAAAACCAAAACAAATCCACAAAAAAATCACATATATTAGGTCCGGGGACAATCTCCGGGCAAACCTGTTACAATTGGCATCCAGCTTGTATAAAACAAACGGAAAACTTTTGATCGCCTTACGCAGAAAAATTGGATAATCTGTCAAGGAAATAGTCTTACCAAGTGTAAATCGATGCTTTTAGCATTTGCCTCATGATGATAGGAAGAATACATGCCTCCTATGCCTTGCATATACCCCGCTTTGCAGGTGGGATGATAGTGACCTCACTGTAACTACCTTCTCTTCCGCTCAATCTTCTGAACAGGAGTATTAGTCCCTACTTTTTCCTCTCGCATGTCTTATTCTCTCGAAGTTTCCTCAAAATTTGGCAGAAATCTCGCTCAACGTGAGAGTTTTTAAATCTCCTCTCTGATTTGCAGGTTGCTTTTGTTCATGGAAGAAACCTTAGGCTTAAGATTTTAAGGTTTTCAAAGTCACGGCCCCTCAATTTCCCAAGGCGTTTGTTTCCCAAGGCGTTTGGTGTATATAGACCTTAGGTGGGGGTAATTGATTTTTCTCGAATTAGGTGATGTGGAGGACATGATTTGGTGCAAAATGACCTGAGTTGCCCCTTTAGATCGTGAGTTGCCTGCACATTCAATTCCAACCAAGATTGGAAGCTTGAGGCAGAGAATAGGCTATTGTATATCCTGTCTTACTTCAATTTTGGGGCTTATTGAGCCCAATCATGTAATTGGTGATAAATTCCGTTGGCTTCCGTTTGGTCCAAGTTCCACCCAAAAACACCTCATATTTCGTGAGAATCAAATCGATCAAGTGATGCTGCTTTCTGTGCAGTGGTTTGCAGTAGTCCTCTTAATGACTGGATTTGCGGCCCAAATTCCTATAGGCTTCATTTTGGTTTTGCAGAAAATTGAGTAAGGAATATCTTCCCTCAAATTTCATCTCAATAGACTCAGGAATGAGTGAGATATCGCAAAAAGAAGCCTCATTGATCATGCAGTCTGATGCGTACATAAGGCTCGAAACAACATTTTCTTCATTTCTTGCTCTCAAATCCAGGAATGATTGCCCAAACAAGTAGATAATCATGTAAGGAGTTGAATGAGGATCATTTTTGTGTCAAATTTCTAAAGAGCCAAGAATGAAGAATATATACCCTAAATAAGGTCAGGTCTTTATGCAGTCCATTTGTGGATAGCAATCCTGCATGTATACTGGCAGTTGGCCTTGTTTGGACCATTAATGTTGTCTAGCGACTGTAGGTGTGGTCCAGCAGACTGTTCATGTGGCTTTTCAGTCCTTCAGCTTTGGCTTTTCGAAAGTGGGTCAAATTATGTCCAAATGACTTGAAATTTCGATAGCAAGCTTATAATGATTTTGATTAAAAACCTACAGCTTTTCATAAGGATTCGAGATCATTCTTGTTCGATTGATGGCTAGGGTTATTGCTCAGTGGACCAAATGATGACAAAATGACTAGAAATTTCGAGGGTTGGCTTGGAATCCTCTAGATTAAAGTCACACCAAGTTTTGCTGTGATCAGGGACCATATTCCATGTCCCCATTTTTGTGATGCTTGATCAATTGCCTGTTATATCTCCTGTCGTCTAAGGTTAACTTCAGAGCTGCAAAATTTGAGGTCTAAATGACATAGAACTTGGAGAGTAGTATTGAAATCATCGTCATCATTTGAGTCTCATCCCAACTATTTGGGGTCGGTTGGAGGGTAGTCTTGAAATACTTCAAATAAAGGTCCACCGAGTTCTATTAATATCCAAGGCTGTTTTTTATGGTCCCCTTTTTATTCAAAGCCCCAACCAAGGCATTGCTCATTCCCCTTGACATTCTGACAACTGTTTAGAAGATCAGCTTCTGCTACGAGACGTGGCAGACATAGCATGTATGTTACTGAGTTGTGATATTGATCCCGATGGTTGAATGTCGGGTTCCTTGGAAATATGCTTTCTCTTTAGAGCTCCGTGCTAGGGTTGTATATGAATAGGATTGACCCTTAGGGCTTAATGTCAGCTTTGCGGGAGTAATATGCTTTGTCCTCTGGCCTTGATGCCAGGTTGAGGACGGATAGGTGGCCACACATGCTATGTCATTTCATATCTGGGCTGACTCATCTTTTGCTTTGATTTCTTGTGATGCAAAAGACACCTAAATGAGGTGGTCTATTGAATTCCTCATAATAAGAGTTGTCATATGTCAAACCGTGGATTCCATATGCCCTCTTTCTCATCATCATCGTCATCAAAGCCTTTTCCATATGCTCTCTTTCTATGTAGAGCTAAAACTTTTCCATATCTATTACCATTATACTTTCTTTTCCATGGTTTTCTTTCTTGTCCTTGTGATCTGATCATTTTTGCTGCATAATCTTCACATGTGGTGTCATAGCCGTGGTTCAGATTTTCAAGAGAGCTAATGACATGCATGTGTGGGTCTAAGCTACTTCTCTTTTGACAAATGTCTTGTAGTTGATTGGAATGCTAGAAATAGTTGGCTTCTATTGAGTCTTAAGCATGGAACTCCTGTATATGTATGGGGCAATAAGCTGCATTTACAAATCAAATGATCAAGGTTATTTCATTCATATACATGGAGGTTGATACATCCCATAAAATGAGT